CCCCCCCCCCCCCGCCTCAGTAAATTGGAAGGGAGCGTTTGGAATAAAAGCCTTACTTATCCAAGGTAGCCTAGGTTTAAAAGGATCAAAATACCAAATAATAAAAACTGAATGCTTTTTCCAGCACTGAAAACTCTGTTTGCATGTACACAGTATCAGGTATTTTTGTTATGCTTTCAAATTCATTATCTCATTAGATTTTCAAAACAACCCCGTGAAGCACGCAAGAAGAAAATGCTCATGCCCATTTTACAGATGGTGAAATCGAGACACGGATGAAGTCTCCTGAGGTGAAGCCGTTTGATTAAGGTCACACCGTTAGGAATGGTAAAAAGAGAAATAGCACCTAGCGGTCGGTTCAGAGGTCAACACCATCTTTCTGGAAATCTTTGTGGAGAAAATGGAAAAAATACAGATGCCTGGATTCCCTGGAGAAGCTTTAAAACTTCTTGAGCTCCTGAGACCTTGTAAGTAAGAATCGATGTGTGCAAGATCGATTCCCAGGAAGGCCCATCCCCTGGGGGGAGCGGGGCAGTTAGGCTGGCACGGTGAGCCGGCGTCTGGAAGCCAGCAGCCGAAACAGTAATGCTTTGTTTGTGGTTGGAAAAGGGTTTGAAGGCACATGCCAGCCAGGACAAATGCCATAGCCCACCAGCTGGGGCCCCCACCCATCAACCACGCTGCCACTCCTCTTCCCCCATCCAATCCACCCTCCAAATGCAACCAGCAAGAGCTTGCCCCACCCCTCCTCACATGCTCACAACCCCACTTAAACCTCCCTGAGCTTTTCCAGACCCTTAGCCTGGCCAATAAGCCCTGCCTGATCCAACAGCATTATTTGCCATTCTCTGTTCCCTAGTCCCACATGCCTTCTTTAGAACTGCAGAGATTCCCTCCTACCACAGGGCTTTTGCACCTGCTCCTGTGGCTCCCCATCCCACTGCCCCGCCCCTTCCTCCACCGCCTCCTTCTGATCTCAGCATTATTCTTCAGGGAAGTCTTTCTCAACTCCCAGTCGAGGGCAGAGTCCTTTTTTATATCTTCTCTTTCTTCGGTGGTTCTCGTGGTTCTCATCACTGACTGTAATTGTGCACTGAAGGGTGTGGTTCTTTTATTTAGGTCTATCTTCCCTCCCCACCAGCACTGGGCTTCTGGAGACCAGGGACCATGTCTCCGTGTCTGCCCTGCTCATCAGTGTCTTCTCAGTGCTTGGTGCTCAGTGAACACGTGTGGGATGATGTTGTAGGATATGTGTGACGGGAAGGGCCAGGAACCTGCTGGAACTCTTGATTCCCGGGAGGTAAGATGTTTTTAAAAGGCCAGTTCGAGGAAGCCAGTTGAACATCAGTGCCCCGTCAAAGTGCAAAGTCACTAGGTTTTATTGCCAAGTAACATGCACAGCTGACACTCTCGACTTTGTGCAGCCCATAATCCCCACCCTGACCGTGAGGGACTCTCACAGTCTTCGTGATCTCTGTTTTGTTTGAATTTTTCTGAGGAGAATTATGTTTATAATCTGCAAAGGCCATAAAGAGAATATTTGAAGTCTGTAAGAACTGGGTAAGGCTCTAAGATGACATTAATTCTACCTCTAAAAATCATAATTTGGAAAGAAGTAGAATGTAGTTAATGTATGTTTTTTATTGAAGGTATTTAAGGAAGCGCTAGAAATGTAATTGCAGGTTTTCTGGGCATTCTAAAGTTAAGAAAAAGAGATAATGTTATGATTCAAATGTCCTCATTACCTTCATACCGCTGATGCCAGCAGGCCAGGTCTAAGGACCCTGTGGACCCCATAGGACCAGCCAAGACGGTCTTTGGTTTCATGTGGGATGGAAATCAAATGTGAGCCAGCAGAAGGGGAAAGCGGAGTTTACTGAAGATACAGAGAGAGCAGATGACAGATGGACTCAGTGTCCCAGAGACTCAGAAAGGAAAGGAGGGAGTCTCTCCTTTGCCTGGGGTGTGGGGTTTTTATTGGCGATTGTGGTCTGGTGCCTGTGTCCCCTCAGGCATCTGGAACTGATCAGAACAAGGACAGTGTCCCGGTGTCCTTTATAAGTCCCTTCTTCCCTGAAGCCAGGGGTCTTGGTGTTGAGACTAGAACAGTGGTCTGGATATCCAGCCAGGGGTCTGCTGGGTGATTCCTTAGATATCATCTAGTGTGCTGGAAGCCTCAAATGATATCATTACCTCTGTGTCCCTTACAAGGAGGACAGATGCGATGTGCATTACAAGGCATGCGTAGAGGGGGGCAGAGTGCTGGGTCCTGGCAAGAATCGAAGCCAGAAAGGGGAGCAAAGGAAAAAATGGGCTTTTTTTTTTTTTTTTTTTTTATGGGATCCTTTCAGTTTCCATCTCACCACAATGTGTTGTTAACTTTAAGGGACCCAGCAGGGAATTTGAGAAGTGGACCACAAAGACACAAGTATATTCTCAGAGAAAGGCAATGGCCTGCTGGTCTGATTGATGGTGTCTCCTGGGATAAGTAAATGGAGCCCAAATAGGAGGCTGGTCCTATATGCCAGGTGGTACCAGCCCTCCAGCCCTCACCACTTCCTTCCCCAACTCTTGCTTCACCCTAGTCCCCCAGTACAGAAAGGAAGGCCAACGATGGCATGAGATTATTTGGTTTTTCACAGCACTGGTGGTTTTTTAAAACCCAAAGATTTAGTGTGTTTTGGTTTGGCCACTTCAAAGAACTGCTGTCTGAAATGATGGCACTAACCTAACTTACCTGAGATTGTGCCTCCCCTCCCCCTGCAGGCATCTAGATTTTGGCTCACTTCTGGCTTCTCACCGGTGAGAATCTCTGGTTGCTTGGTTATTAGAAAAAAGCATCAGAGAGCTATTAAAGAATCTGTGCTTTCTGTTGGGCAGGAATAGAGCATTCAATAATGGCACAGGACTCACTGGCCCCAACTCAGTCAGGTGATTCTGGCTGGGTGAATCCTGCCACGTTCAGGTGATTTTTCTCTCTTTACCTCTGCTGGACCAGATCCAACGGGATCCTACCTGTGAACCAGTAATTTGAGTAGTTTTGAGTGTTAGAGTGGCATGGGGAATGGAAGGAAAAAGTTTTAAGCACAACAAATTTTTGGAAACTCAGAGAAAACAGTAGTTCCTGTATTCAGTGATTAGGTGGACTGGGAGACTGGCAGGCAGATAACAAGACACAAGGTGGGTCAGTTTACTCTTGGTTATGCAAGCATGGGCCTAGCCCTTATTCTGAAGTGTATGTATCTACCACTTGATAAATATTCTATTGGTTGGATGGGTAGATAGATGGGTAGATGGGTGGTTCAATGAGTGGATGGGTGGGTGGATGGGTGGATGGGTGGGTGGATGGATGGGTGGATGGGTGGTTGGATGGGTGGATGGATGGGTGGATGGATGGCTAGATGGATGGCTGGATGGGTGGATGGGTGGGTGGATGGATGGGTGGATGGGTGGTTGGATGGGTGGATGGATGGGTGGATGGATGGGTGGATTGGTAGATGGACCATGAAGCTCTACTGTCAGTGTTCATTAACTGTGGCAGACACTGTTAGTGCCTTGCCTGTATTCTCTTTGTTCTCTCTTCTACACCCAAAAGGCTACTTATTTCACATACCTTCCACTCTGTCTCTGTGAGCCTTTATCTGGCTGGGGGAGCGTATGAGGCCAGTGAGCCAGAAAAGGACAGTGAATGTTCTGGAAGTAGACCTCAGTCAATAGTAGATGGGGACTTGGTGGGTAACCAGCTCAGTTGCATATCACTGGGGGGGTGGGGCAGGGCATGTCTACACAGTGGGATTAACCCCTAGTTGCCTTCGGTGATAACTGGTAACACATGCTTTAGTGCCTTTCTTTGCTCTTCCACTGTTTCCTGGGATCATCTTCCAAATGAACTACTGCCCTTGAATCTGTGTTTTAGGATAAGCTTCTGGAGAACCAAACTAAGACACCCATCTCATTGACTGCTCTGTATGTGTGACCAAACTGTCCCCAGGTGTCACTCTTAACCCTCTGTTTAGGACACAGAGGGTTAAGAAAAGCACACTTGAGCCACACCTCATTTTAATAGTATTGTACCCTGTCCAAGTGCAAAATCACTAGGTCTGATTGCCCAGTACTGTGCAGGGCCGACATTCCCGACCTTGGTGATGTCAGTAACCTCCAGCCTGAGCCAGAGGGCCTCCCACAGTCTTCTTTGTCAATGTTTGGTTTGAGTTTTTATGTGGTGCATTATTTAACCCACACCTAATTGGAATAGTATTAAACTCATTCTTGATTAATTCTCTCTGGAAAATCTCATCTTATTAAGTACTTAACAGAAGTTCAGCTTCATTATGGGAGCTGATCGGATTCTGTTATTTAATGACTGAAAGGAGAATGAATGTCAGACACCCAGATCCGTTTTTCTGGTCAACCTCCTTTGACAACACAGTTTTCCTAACTTGAAGGCAGTCACGTTTGTTAAAAGAACAGCCCTTTTAGCTTTTCTCTGATAATGAAGTATCTAAATTCCCTACAGGTCCTCAGAATACCTATAACAGTGTTTAGCAACACTTTGAAGTAATGGTTTCTCCACCCTAAGTGTGCACTGGAATCACCTGGGAGCATTTATGTCCACGGACCCCTGGTCCTGCTCCAGACCAGTCAATGGCAGTGTCCAGGCAGCTGTAGTTTTAAAGTTCTCCAGTTGGTTCTAACATGCAGCCAGGGGTGAGGACCATTGACTTAAGGGCACAGAGCCTGTAGGAGACCATGGACACCAGCTGCTTCAGGAGCCGCCGCTCTGGACAAAGCAGGAAGAACCAAAAATGTCATCGGGGGCAGCCCCAGGTGACCCCGCACATGCCATAATAATACAGTCATTGCATGTGTGGCCTGCTCCACACTATACTCCACCCTCTATGCATGCGTCGCTCCTGTCAGGAACCCATGCTCTAATGAGAAAACATCCACCACAAAATAACCTTTTGTTCCCAGAGCATAGCAAAAAAGTCTCTTCCCCAAGGAGATTTCAAATCAGGAATTTTATCTTCTCATTTGAAAGCTTGGGCAGTTGAGCCTCATGCATTTTCATTCCCCTCTCTTCCAATCTGAGTAATTTTTGCTCCTGGCTGAACCTCCGGATATTTTCTCAGCCTTGGTGGATGCGACTGCCTTTATCCCTGGGGCATAATTCTAGAGAAGGAGTTCCTCGAGTTCCCAGAAACAAACAAAAAATTTGAAAAAAGAAAAGAAAGAAAATGGGACCCATAAGCCGTGACATCAGTTTATGACTGCCCTCCATTAAGCCTGCCCCTTAATGACCTTGGCGCCTCCGAGGACTTTTGAAAGGCTGATAATGTTCTCTCATAAAACTTTAAGAAACCATGGTGAGCATTTGGGACTCCAAGCCAAATGGCAACTTAATTAAGTAGGCCCATGAACTTTCAAACATGTTTATATACTTTGGTGTGTACCTCCATTTTTCCGAGGGGACAGTCTCACACTCTCAGGTGGGTATGTGACTCCACAAAATTTTAGAATTAGCAATTTCATGTCCAATGAAGTTCGACATGAAAAACTTATGTTGCAACTTCTACACACACTGGGTCTCCTTCCTCACTGTTTTCTTATTTCTGACCTCTTCCTCTACCTTCAACCTTCATCATGTAGGGGCTCTGGAATGCCACTACATGCAAATTCCTGGTCTCAGAAATGGGGATCTACGGCCACAGGGCTCCCAGACGCCAAGGGTCAAGGAGACCAAGTTATTCCAGTGTTCCGGGACCAGCAGTTCTTCAGAATTGAAGATCTAGCACAGGCTTTCAGGTGGCCTAGGGGGTCCCTAACAATCACTGTCCAAAACTAACATACTTGCAGGCTAAGGAATGGGTCAGTGAGAGTGGATGACCTTGCTCTCTTTTGCAAGTTTATGTGATTATTTTCTTTCCGTGCATCCTTACAAAGGCATGACAAGGTGGTCATCTGTCACTTCAGGCTTTGCACCACATCAAAGCAGACACCCATTGAGCTGAGGGAGAAAGAATGGCAGCCTCCACCCTGACATACATTTCATTCCCCTCTCCCCTTGGAAAGAAAGGTCAAACCTTCTCAGTAACACTTTTGTGATGGGGGAGGGTATTAATAATGTCTCGCCCCCCCCCCCCACCAAGGGAGGGAATACAGGTCTCTGTAACTAAGTTCCATAAAGGTGAGGGGGACTGTGAGTATGCGAGAAGGCATGCAAGGGGCACAAGGAGAAGGGGCCAACATCTACTGACTGCATAGACTGTTCCAGGTATGTGTTAGATCCCTTCTCCATGATATTGCTTACAGGACACGCTCAAACAAGGGAGCACAGAGCCAAACTGTAGGGCTGGAAAAGTCCCCAAACCAAGGGACTTACCCCTGATAGGGGCAGAATAAATTTTCTATTGCCCGTGACAGTGACTGCCAATTGTGCCCCAGGATTTCATCCTTTCTTCGATAGCAGCAACTGTCCAGTAGAATTTTCTGTGATGATGAAAATGTTCTATATCCACATAGTCCAGTACAGCTGCCATGAGCCACATGTGGCTATTGAGTACTTGAAATGTGGCTTCACTGACTGAAGACCTGAATTTGAAATCTTATTTAATTTTAACTCATTTAGATTTAAATAGCCACATGTGGCTAGTGGCTGCCAGTATTGAATAATGAGTTTTAGAGTAGCCTCAAGTGTTAGATGGGCATGCGGTCATCTGAAATAACAACTATGCTTCACAGCCTCTTTTGCAGGCCTATAATTAAGTCTTGACCAATAATGGGGGTCAAGACAGACAACTTCCAGGTTATGTCTGAAAGGGAAGAAGCATGGCCCCTCACCCCCAGTGCCTTCTTGCTGGTCGGACAGGGATGTAGCCATGCACCGTCTGGAACCGAGTGATGAAGACATCACCTTAGGGGTGGCAGAGCAATAAAATAAAAGGAACCCGTGTCCCCAAGAATGACATCAGGTATCGGTTCCTCAATTCCAGCTCAGATATCTACATGTGAGAGCAACTAAAATTCTGTTGTATTTAAGTCATTGTCATTTTGGGTCTCGGACATTAAGCCACATATCCTATCCTAACTGATAATACTGCCCACCTCTCTCTCACAGAGACTGTGGGGAACAAATGTCCTAGTTATGATTTTGATCATGTGGTTTCAAAGCTTCTGCCAGGTCTTTATACAGCTTAAGGGCAGAACCCTAGAATAAGGGGTCTCTGCTCAGCAAAGCACTTTGGTGAGCTGGCAGATCTGCAAAGGTAGACCTGTGTTTAGCCAGGAGAAAGCGATAGAGAGTTAGAGGCTATGCATCTGAAGGAAGTTTGAGTTTGGAGGAAGACGGGCTTCTGGAGAGGGAAAGAGGGCCCAGAGAAGGAACAAGGAGAGACCTGAGAAAATCAGGAAGGGCCTGAAGGATGATAGGGCCAGCAGGGGATTTCCCAAAGTGACAATAATTGATGTTGTTCCCGTGCTGTGCTGTGACCTTCCAAATACTGCTGCACACCACAGCCTCTTGTTGATGGGGCTTTGGAGAAAATGAAGGAATTAGAACAGTGTCCAGCATGAGACAAGGTAGTATGATCATGGGCTCATAAGGAGCCAAGACACAGGGTTAGCTCAAAGATGCAACAGAAGCCAGAAATCTGAGCGAGAGGTGACTATGACACAAATAAGCACCTTTAGCGTCCCCAGAGACATCATGGCAAGGAGCATACTGACTTCCACCACTCTGCCACCCTGCTTGAATGTTAGAGAAAAGTGTCACCCCAACAAGTCTATGTAGCCTGCGACATCCAGGCAGCTGACACTTGGATTTGCACTTCCCTACAGCACCATCTTTCTCCTGGCCTGCTCTCAAAGACCTGACAGCTGAGATGGGAAGAGAAACAAATGTTTCCCTCATGCTTTCTCTGCCCTGGCCTGCATTAAAGGAGATCTGCTCCCCCTTAAATCTAGAGTACACAGTCCTTAGG